GGTGAAGGAGATGAAGTGGTGATCGGAGACGGCCTTGTTGGTAATGGTGACATCTGAGACACTGTGGAGGGAGAGGTTGAGTGAGGAGAGCAGGGAAGAGAAGTCCGAGGAGATGGAGCAGGAGGGGGTGAAGTGCAGGTTGAAGTCGCCCAGGATGATGTGGCGATCACAGCAGAGGCAGAGAGATGTTAGTAGTGTAGAAATATCGGAGATGAAGGTGGGAGAGGTTTTAGGGGGCCGGTAGAGGAGGAGGATTTTGAGTGATATCACGATATTCTGCATCTAATGAAGTTTATGAACTTTCTGTGTCTGCGCTTAATTTCTTTGCGGATAATATTGATCACTCTGATGACACTTATCATCACATTACTCATTTTCATTGGTTTTCCACAAAGGGACTCCTGGTGTATGATGCAATGGAATGTAGTACAATCAATTCAATTTTGTTTCAGCAAACCTATCAAACTATTTTTACAGCCAGTCATTGATTTTGCACCATTTGTCACAACACTTCTGAAATCACCGTATTTACTGAGTTTGCGACGGTCTCACTCCTTGATGTACACGCAAATTTTATTAACACTCTCATACTACGTAGCCTCTATTTCTCTCCTAACCCTGTCGGTGTGAGTCCCTATTTAAAAGGTGACTCAACCAAGTCAGAGTCACACACAGACAGGTATTCCCAGTTAACTCCCAATTCCCACTGGAATCTCTAATCGGAGTCTGCTCGCACTTATAGACCTCTGATGTTGAGTACCAGCTCCTAAGGGGTTATTCCTTTTCTTGTCTAGAATACTACAGAGATCGAGGATACGTTCGATAGAAACAACAGCTCTTTATTAAAACTTAGCAACCCTAGGGGACATTGCATATAAGGAACACAACGGAAGATATACAACAATGGTATCAATCATAACAATTACACATAACTATAACAACTAGCAGCACAATGTTACATTAGCAAAGAAATATGAAACCAACCCTATATATAATATATAGTAATAATAATCCTTGCATTTGATATAGCACTTTTCATGTCTTCTAGATGTCTCAAAGCGCTTCACTGGATATACTGTAAAGTGAGTATGTACCGGATGACGACCATTAGTTAGGGTCTTTTGGGTTAATGCAAGGGTTTTTTCCCATGTTTGCGCCCACAAATAATTTTACTCTGCAAGCTGCTTGATAAGTGCTTGTCAGCTAACTGTCAATCAAACAGCCCTGCATCTATATTTGTTGCAAACTCCTGTCAGCTGCTGTTAAATCTGCAAACAGCTTCTGCAACTTGGAACCCATTTGAAGGGCAGGCTTCCCCATTTCCCTTAAATAATATTATAGTTATATATACATATTATTTACACACTACAAGATACTGCAATAGGGTAACAATAGGGTAAGTTGAAGTAAGAACCTTGTAAATATCCAACCCCTTTTTAGTAGTTTTCAGAGGAATTAACTCAAGTAATTCTTTATGAAAAACATTTTCATCAATGGTTCTGATGAAAATTAATAGCTGACTGATATCAATAACATCAGTGCTATCATCTAGAGCTAATGAGAAGTATTTATATTTTGCAACGATTGTGCCGAGCTTTGTATTCACGTGTTCGTTCATGTCACTTGTTCTGCTGGCCGCAGTTTGGTGAGAGTGCTACATTTACAAAATTATTGGCCATTTTTACATCACCAAATCCACGAGCCAATTTTGCTGCACAATTTGTTTTACCATTTCACCATCTCTAAATGACTTTCTAAACTTTGCTAGCTGGAGACAGACCTCGTAAGATACAATTAGACTTGCAGTTTGAACTATTGCAGCTTTGGTGGAAATGTGCTTTTGCAGCTGGCTTTTCCAGTATATTTGTTGTAATTTACCTTGTGTCATGTGTTGTAGTACCTGCTGATGTTGAACTCCTTCAACACAGATATTACTTGCAAGCAAACAAGGCCCTGAGATTTCCCATTAGAGAGACTGAAACTTACCCAATATGAATTCAACCACCCAGCATGGGCTGTTTCCCCCCCACCTTCTTCCTCCCTGCATGGTAAAAATCTCTTAAAAACAATAATTTGGTCACTGAATCCACGACAGTTTGTGGGACACTGCTGTGCACAATTAGCTGCATGTTTTGCCCACAAAATATTCAGTCAATACACTTTACAGTATATTCTGTGAAGCGCTTTGAGACGTCAACAGCATATATCAAATGCAAGGATTACTATTTTCAATAAGCATGTGATCAATTTCCCACTTACACTGAGATCCTCCGTTTCCACTTCTATCTTCGGTTTCCTACAGAGACTCATAGTCCTGTTGCGCCTAGATTCTGACTGTATCTCCCCAGGTTACACAAGGCATGAATAGCCTGGATTCTGATTGTTGGGGGGGCAGTGGTGGTTGGCAGAGCTGGAGGCGTCCTCTGACTTTGCCCCTCTTCCTGTTACTCTCAGCACGTCCTCAGGTTCCCACAGAGCACAGACCAACCACAAGATGCATAGCCGGGAGATAAAACTAAAGTTCAAAATAGTTTGTGGAGCCGCATAAAATCACCCACGGGCCGCTGGCAGCCCAAGTGCCAACTGTTGGACACGCTGGTCTAGAGAACTGGAAGATAGAAGTTGATTGTTCTGGAGAATTGAACCAGCAGTTATCAGTAAATGTCATGCGCTTCTTGATTCTAAAGGGAAACTGACCTCCAGCTTTCTGTTTTTGCCTATGCAGTCCGCTCTTCCCACCCTGATCTAAGACTTGTTCCTTGCAGGGGATGGAGGAGTGATCAGAAGAGGTGCTAGTTTTATGCAGTACTAATTTACATAACACATTGCACATCAGGAGGACGTCCCAAGGAGCTTGACAGACCTAGTATGGCACCCAAGCTCGGGTGGAAGATGAGAGGGAAGGGGAAGATGAACAAAAACGCAAAGAAAAACGTCTTGAGATGGACCTTGAAAGAGGTGAGGGAAAGTGCGAGTTGGAGGGACCCTGGGAAATACCCGTAAGAGGAAATTAAACATAAATTAAGCATATTGTGTGTTTTATTTGCAGCCTCAAAGTTCCTTAGGAATAACACAACCTTTAAACAGTTACTCCATGAAGTATAGACCAGAGTATGAAATGCAGTTTATTTCATACAATTACAAACAATTAAAAATTCTACTTTAGATATTTTAATCTGTATAAATCAGTGAATAATTTATTTGAACTCCCGTCACACACACACTTAATGCAATTAAGTGCGTCAGATACAACAAAGCAGACTCATGGATTCACAAGATACAGTATTCTTCCACATGTGTTACAACATACATACATATTGTATGTTTAGATAAAACTAAATAATGCCATCAGACACTGTACTTGGGTAATGTTCAGCATGGCCCATTGCACTGCATCACTTAATATACAAAAATAAAATTACATGTCATTGGTATGTTATAAATAAATTTACAGTTTCTTTTTTGCCACTGTAATAAATAACATACTATCATGCTGCAAGCAATATCACAGGACAACAGAACATACATGTACAAATTCCAACTAATAATACTTGCATTTGATATAGTGCATTATCACATCTTCCAGACATCACAAAGCTAAACTAAAGCTGCAGAAGAGAAAACTAGGTCAAATACTTTCAGTCCCCCCAAAAATTGCAATTTTAAATCTTTCCTTATAAGGTGATGTATCCGATTACTATAATAATCCTTCTGTTTGGCAAGGATTGGACGCCAGGAGGACATCTCAAAGTGCTTCAACTGTGAAGCAAACACAGGATCAACTGTGTTTGTAGGTGAACGCACACTTAGTGCTATGCCCATGTCTTTTTTTTGTTCTTTAACAAGACTGTGACTTAGATACACACAAAGCCTCACAACTGGGCTGAAATTCTGGTCAGTCATACGTAGTGTTTTTGGCAACGTCAGCTGCTGATGGGATTTGCTTCTTACCTGTTGCCAAAAGGCGCTTAACTCAGAATGCAATTTCAAGCCAAATGCATGCACTTTGCTCTGGATTTATAGTCAGAATGTTTATAGCAATGGAGAACTATTGCTGGAGCTTGGCAAATAACTCTCCTTCCGTTGCATCCTCTTCCAGCAGCTTGTCTACCAGAGTAACTTTCCCCTCTGCCACCAGATGATTTTACAGACTTTAGCTGTGTACTTGTGAAACGCTGGCAGACAGACTGCAGCCTTGCACAGCTTTTCATTTCATCATCTGGAGTCCTGTAGCATAGCATCTATGACTGTTTGTGGGACACTGCTGTGCATAATTAGCTGCCATGTTTCACCGACAAAATATATAGTCAATTCCCTTTATAGTATAATCTGTGAAGCGCTTTGAGATGTATCAAAAACATAAGGCATTATATCAAATGCAATTATTATTACAGTCTGTTTGTTTCACCAAAGCATTTTTGCAACAACGTGCCACGTCCGAACCAAAGCTTCACTGGAAATGCAACTAATCTCTCTGAGCACTTTTGGAAGATGGGAGTGTGTTAGGGTTACTTTGTCGTGCACAAAATAAAATCAACATGTATTATTCCTCTGCACCACCTGTGTCACACATCACAGCCAACAACAACTTGCATTTATATAGCATCCTTCACGAGGGGTAGTGTCCTGGAGCGCATCCCAACTTAAAAAGTAGTCAGAAAGCAGTGCCAAAGGCCTTCTGGCAGTGTCACTGGGTTAAGCCAGAGCATCTCTCAACAGCTCCCAGTCAATACTGGGAACTCACCTATTGGTAACTGAGTGTGTCAGTGTGTATTACACTACACAACTTCCACTTATATAGGTTTGAGTCTGAGAATGTCTCAAAGTGCTTCAGAGATGGATTGAAATTCAAGCAGCAAGAGAGAGAGAGAGACACACACACAGACAGAGGGTAAGGGGGAGAGATGCAGGTAGAGGTAGCCAAAGTACAGGCTAACTTTAGAGTTTTGAAAGCAGAGAGGGAGGGGACAAGTTGGAACGATTTAAGGAAATTACAGAATGCAGCAAAGTGACTAAAAACACACCCGTTGATGGTAGGAGGCGGAGGACATGAAGCAGACACAAGCTAGTAGAGTGGAGGAAGTGGGTTGAGGTAGGAGGAAGACCTCACAAGATCACAGAGGTGGGGTGGGACAAGGCATTTCAAGGCAAAGCAATAAACAATTAGGAAGCACTGGAGATTTCAGGATGAAAAATGTACAGTGCACAACAGACTACCTTTTTTTTTTAAAAGGCTTTCCCTTTACAGTTAAGATTCTGATATGAAAGATTTATTTTTCTCAGCTACTTCTTAAAAAAATCTCACACATAGCTCTAAACTTTAGTAGCCAAAAGTACTACATAGTATATAGTACGTTTAGCTATATAGTATAATTGATAGATGGTAAAAGGAATATAACCCAATGCCCCAAAAAGTTCCTAGTTTATAAATTACTATCGTTTCTGCCTCCAACCAACACTGTGACTGCCAACTGCTCCAGAGCCCATTCTATCTTTCCTCACATGTGGTTGGGTCTCAATAGCAAGACCAACCTGTGCCGATCTTAGAGTCCTGCCATGAAGCTTATACCCTTCTTGCTTGATTGTCACGACCGTACCAGGTAGGGCATCCAAGGAAGGCACCCGCGAGATAATTTCATGCTCCGCTGAGTTGTACTTGAGCCCAATGGAGTTCATCTTCTCTAGGCCGTGCTTGCCAAATATCTGCCAGAGTTTCCCTTCTATCAAAGACAGACCTTTGTGGAGGTTGTTCATGGTGGGATTGGAGTCTGCCAGTTCTTCCTCACTCACGCTCACTATGGTCTTCTCTATCAGGTCAGCTACTGCCAGCATGTCCTTACAGAAACTGTGGATACCTTGCGTGAGTAAAACAATTTTTTTTTAAAATCGCAAATGTAAGGTTTAACCATTGATCTTCCTTTCCCCCCAAAACACGAGGTACAATGATTTCCTCTAATTAATCACTTATTTCTCTCCCCATTGTCCCTCCATTCAGCGTCACTGGACTTTTTGTGCATCACAGTTAAATATATGTGATTGAATAACGACTGGAAGACACTGAGGCATAACTTGGAAGGCCATCCAAAGAAATCAAACTCTGCCTATAAGAGATATCAAAGAAATGTCGAGCAAGTTTCCTTACTCCACAAGCCTCTGTTTACCTAGCAATAAGTAGGAACCCGGTTGTTAGTTGATTGACAGATCGCTTTTCCTGGGTAATAATCCCTTTTTAAAAAAGAAACTGGTCACTTCAATCCACGACTGTTTATGGGACACTACTGTGCGCAAATGGCTGCCATGCTTCACCCACAAAAATATACAGTCAATTCACATTAGAGTATAATCTGTGAAGCGCTTTGAGACGTCTCGAAGACGTGATAAGGTACTATATCAAATGCAAGGATTATTATTAATATTCAAGCATTGAAACCACTTCACTCATTCTCCATCTATACACAAAGAACAGAAAGTTCACTCACCGAACACCCTCGCATCTTCTACACACTTTCTGGTTCTTCGATTGATATCTTCAGCATGCGCTAGAGCTTTCTGATAATTCTCCTGTAAATCCAGAGAAAACACAGTATTCAGCAATTTTCACAAGAGACACATCTTTAATAGAAACACAACTTTACCAGCTTCAGAAGCAAATTTGGATATTACAACAAATCATATTCACCAGTAATAATACCAGTAGAAGACAGAATAATGGCTATAACCTGTATATTCTTCTGGTGAAGCCTGAGCTTCGGCTTATTGAATAGTGCTTGTTGCAAAAACGCTATGATAAAGTAGAATATTACTGTATCGAATTAATTCTTTCTGCATATTTTCCATGTAAAATATAAATTTTCTTTGCTTCTGCAGTCAACAGCGATGATGCTAATTTTTCTTTACTTTTTACTCTCTAGTGTTCCATCCTCCTCTCAAGGCGCTGACTGAGTTGTAAGTTGATTCCATTGTATTAGACGTTTGGGCAAGACACAGTTACTTGCATAACTGACCATTCTTTCATGTGTGAGAATGGACAGCAAGTGTTGCTGGTCTATTTCACTGTAGAAATGCCACAGTAAAGACCTGATCCTCACCTCAGCACATGTGCACCCTTTCTAGCGATGAAGGAGATCAGGAAGGGGAAACCCTGTCTGGTTCTCTCCTCACTAGCCTTGGGTTGACCGAGTGATCTCAAGGTTAAAATCAGCAGAGGCTGGAGATCAAACCCGAGACCTTCCTGGTCTGTATGGTTCAGTATCACCGCAGGCAATGCATTAACCATCCAAAGCATTGAATGACCTGTGAGTTACCTTTCAAAGCACATTAAAAACAACAACCCCATCTCATCATTAAATTCTTAACCACAATGACACTCACAAGCTGAATTCCATGATGTCTGACTGTCAGAAGGATTTTAACATTAGGATTTCAGAATCTTAACACTGTTTTTTTCCCTCTAATCCAGCACTCCCACAAACAAAAAATTGCAACCAGCTCCCAGTTTGCCACCATCTTTCATATGAAATTGGCTCCTTCTGTTTAAAATCAAGAGCTTGTTCTCCTGACAAACTCCTGACAACACACCTTCAGCAGTTTAAGAACCTGAGCCCCTGCCACGCCATTTCACAATGAGCGCTCATCCACCTTGATTTCGGGAATTCATTTGCAATGAACGTTCGGGTGGTCCGATGAAGAATCCGCACTTCGGACGTTCCATGCAGATCTGAAACTTGGCTTCAGGAATATAATTCAATTATTAGAATACAACATAGCACACTTCATTGAAATCATTCTATTTTTTCTTTGATATCCGGCTCACAACGGGGTTCAAAATTCTTACTATTTGCTCTTGAACATATGAAATGCAAAACTAGATACAATGGAGGTCAATGAAAAGCCCCTGAATTAACACTAAGACGCAGCAGCCTTGACAAACTATAGACCTATATCAGCAGGTCAATATTCTCCCTTTCATGAAGGGACTGATTTATTGCTTGGGTAATAGTTCTATGGGTGTGAGATGCCCCCTGGGTCATTCCCCAAGTGACCTTCCATTGTGTGTGAATTTTTGGTAATAATCCTTGATGCGTTCAGGTCAACGGGACATTTCACCATAAAGTCTAGGGACTGTGAATTGATAGGTGAAAGCTGCAGTCATTTTGCGCACAGCACTACCCCACAAAGAGCCTTGAAGAGAGATGACCAATTTTAGCTGGGAGGTTGTTGGCCAGGACACTGCATGTGTTGTCCAGAACACAGGACATGGCAATTAGGCACACATTGAACTCTGGAGGGCATAACAGTTGAGTCCAATCTTGTTCATACCCAAAGTTCACACATGTGCACGTTCTAGCTGGGTAAATGAATTGGGAAAGCCCATGGCTGCTGATGTTCATTTAGCTATGGTTGAGATCGGCTAACTCAGCACAGACTTGAGTTTGAACTTGTGATCGGTTCTCAATGGTTTAACAGTGTTTTTAATAAGCATTGTTAGGTGCAGCCCTATATTATCCCAAATTGGCAATATATTATGAGCGCTAATACTGCCAACTGGAATAAACTGTATTCACAAAAACAGTTAGAAAAATGAGGACAAGAAACTGGTGTGATTCACCCTTTAGATTGCCAGCGACTCCAAAGGGCCAGCGCTCAGTTCATTCACGCACAACAATAAGGCAAGCCTTAACTCACCAGCTTTAATAATCCTTGCATTTGATATAGCGCTTTTCACGTCGGGAGGACGTCCCAAAGCGCTTCACAGAATATACTGTAAAGTGAATTGACTGTATATTTGTGGGCGAACGCGGCAGCCAATTGCGCACAGCAATGTCCCACAAACAGTCGTAGATTGAAAATGACCAATTTATTATTGTTTTGGGTTTTTTGGAGGGATTATTATTAGGCGTGTGGAGTAAGGAAACTTGCCCAAGGTTTCGCCCTGCCTGGAATTGAACCCAGGTGTCTTGCTTGCAAAGCAAGTGCTCTAACCACTGAGCTACAGGACTCCCAGCTCTACAGTCCCACCATCTATTGACATTGCATAAAATCTGGCCTCTGAAAGGTGGCTCCAAAAAGCCTGAAAAAATTAACCCATCTTTCTCTTTCAAATCTGCTGTGCATTTCCAACATTTGCTGGCTTGAGTCCAAACCCTTTCTAGATCACCCCTCTCCCCAGCTAACTGAGACTTGGGACATTAAAAACAGATTAATTGGAATAATATCATTGGAAAAACCTGTGACTTCAAAAAAATATACCCATCAGAAGCTTGTTGACTAATCACAAAACAACGCATTAACTCCATGGATAACAGATTTGGTCACATGAACTCTCAACTCCTATCTAGGATCTGTCAAGATCAAATACTGTAAGTATTTCAGGCAATTAAGTATAGTTACACCCTGACATTTAGTTAAAATGCTACTATAGTTTAGACATTGATAAGCTAAATAAATGCTTGCCTTTGTGTCTCTTCCCCCCTACCCCAAAAAAATTATTACAGCACCAAAATTTCCAAATTCCCAGCAGATGGGCAGCTTTTGATGCCATTGAAATGTGCGGGAGACAAACATGGTAGCAAAATAGAGGTCTGGCTGCAGATTGTACTTTGGTCAGAAGTAGGAAGTGAAACTTACCTTCAGTATCTGATATTTGTTTTCTAACTTGTTCACCTTGAGTTGTAAGGCTTTTTGAGAGGGGCACCGGCTGGCAGTCCTGTTGATTTCCGCTGGCTTTCCAGCCGAGCACTTAGCCTTTGCGGGTTTCTCTGACTCATGACCCTCCTCACTGGGGCAGACAGGAGTCCCATAGACACTCCATAAACCCCTGGAATCCAAAGAAAATCAAAGAATTATTCAAATAAAAAATAATAATCCTTGCATTTGATACATCAGGAAGGTATCACAAAGCACTTACAGGATTTTACTTTTAAGTGCTGGGACTAGTTAAAAAAAAACTAATAGAAATCTCAAAGCAATGAGGTTTTTGCTTTCATCTAAAAGTCTCAAGAAAGAAGCATCTCAACAAAGGTGTATGCTTCTCTTTCCCTCTGCCCACTCCCTGTTTTTATGGAAGCACAACAACAACAACAAGCACGCTAAATAAAACAACCGTACAGACAGCAGTGACTTTGGGCTTGCTTCATTGTCTTATCTCCCTTTCTGCACATTTCCAACCATCCATCTGTGTCATGATCTCATAGGCTGTCTCTGAATGAGCTCATTCACATTCAAAGCCACATTCAAAGCCCTCTGCATTCCATTGACTGTTGAGATCATCCCACATTGGCTATTTTTAAACACCCAGGGCTGGTTAGTTCTTAAGACTATTTGGAAAGGGTTGTTAAAACCTGCCTCATGTTTAAAACAGTTTTTGGTTCTGTGAATCATGTTTGCAATTCACTTGGAAGTTGGCTGACGAATACAGCTGCCTGACACAATGGATTTGCACCAGAGTTGACTGAGAATAGACTTTCCAATTTAAAAGGCTATTGAAACAAATGGGTTTCAGGCCACACTATTGAATCCCTTTCAGCAAAGCAAATCCCCAAGTAAAATTCCATTCTTACGTGCAGTCAGATGTTAAACCTCTTAGTAAGAAAGGGAAGACAACAGCAGGTAAGAGAAAAATGCTTAAAAAGTCCATAAAGGCAAAAATACTTTTAGCCTTTATAACAGTTGAATATACTCAACCGTTGCTGCAACCTTTTGAAGCCGTTAACAAGAGGACAGCCACTAAGGCTTGACTATGTCAACTGCCTGCTCACTGGACTTCCCAACTCTTCCCTCCACAAGTTGCAGATTATTCAGCACTGCAGCTCATGTCTACTCCCACACCAGGCTCCGCAACAACAACATTTCATTTATAGAGCGCCTTTCACGTCGGGAGGACGTCCCAAGGCGCTGGACAGTTGGGTCAGGACCCGAGCAGGGGGGAAATGGTCAGGGTGAGGGGAGGGCAGGGAGGGAGCGAGGAGGGGGTAGAGAGTCGAGAAGGGTCTTGAGACCGGCCTTGAAGGAGGAAAGGGAGGAAGCAAGGCGAAGGCACTGGGGGATGGAGTTCCAGAGCCTAGGGGCTGAGAGGCTGAAGGCCCGGCCAAAGATTGTAGGGCGGGGGATGTGGAACAGACCGGAGCCAGAGGAACGGAGGGTATGGGCTTTTAAGTAGGGGGATAGTAGGTCGGAGAGGTAGGAGGGAGCAAGGCCATGAATGGCCTTGTAGGTGAGGATGAGGATCTTGAATTCGATCCTCTGGGGGATGGGGAGCCAGTGGAGGCGAGCGAGGGTGGGAGGAAACCAACCCCTGTTCTTGCCCGGCTTCACTGGCTTCACATCCCTCAGAGAATCGAGTATAAAACCCTTGTTCTCACCTTCAAAGCCCCTCATGGTTTTGTTCCCCCCTAACTCCGACCTCCTAACCCAATATCAGCCTGTCCGCTCCTTCTGCTCGACAGCCTGCTTCAGGTCCTGCACACATCCCGCTCCACCATTGGTGGTTGGGCATTCAGCATCTCTGCCCCTACACTCTGGAACTCTATCCTGCAATCCCTCCGCCTCACCTCCTCTCTTGCCTCCTTCAAGTCCTATCTAAAGACTCTCCTCTTCGATCGTGCCTTCGGCCACCCTCCCACAACCCATGCCCTCCACCCCTCCTGACCCCAACTCCCAGCTCAGGTCCAAAAAATCCTGACTGTCCAGCGCCCGGTACATCTTTCCGACATGAAGGAAGCTATACAAATGTAATTTGTTTTGTAGCGTCTGCTTCCTGGCAGTTAATATATAGGTCGACTTTACAGGCAATGAAATGCGGCAAGATTTTAGGATTCAAGTCTTCCTGTGAAGCACAGTAAGATCTAAAATGGAAGGCTCCAATTATATCATCACTGCACCACATGATAGCAATGTTCTGATGTTTACTCAGTACATATTATTTTTATAAACCCTTGCATCCAATACAGCACTGATCATCTCTCAAAGCGCTTTATGTCACAGGATCATCCATAAAATACACAGTCACTCCACTTTAAAGTATATCCCATGCAGTACTTTAAGATGTATCAATGACATGATAAAGCACACCTAATATATCATTTTTTGTTGTTATAAGTGCAGTAACTGGATATCTTGCAGGCGAACGTGCAAATAATAATCTAATAGTGACTACGGTCTGTCCCAACCCCTAGCACAAGCACAGTACACACTACATAGAGCTGCTGGCATGGGTGCAACCAGCCAACTTCAGGAGAGAAGGGGAAAATTCCCCTTTTTGTGCAAAACCGAACAACTTTACCAATCTAATGCTAGGTCATCGACCTGATGGTCACAGTTTAAAAGCAGAAGCTGTGGAAATTCTCCGCCCCACAACCTTCCTCATAAAACACAACTTGCGTAAGTAGAAAGGAATGGTGGTGATGGAGTCTGAGGTGGGAGGATACACATGAGGAATTTCTAATCTTGAGTTGCTGAGATGGCCGAGTAAGAAGTAGCTTCACCGTCCATAGACTGTAAGAACAATCGGCCTGGTTTATTACTCGTATCCACTTATGGAATGATTCTTGCTGTGAATTTACACATTGACAACCGTCAGGCCATACACAATGGACTCAAATTGGGCTGAGATAGCCTTTGAGGTTGAACAACACTCACAGACTGGGCTCCTGAATGAAGAATGTATTCAGATAATACCCACTTGGGCTGCCTAACGTTTGAAAACAATACCCCAGCGAACGTTAAATAGTTTCAGGAGTGGAGAAAGGCAGAAACTAAAGAGACCAAACAAAATGTAATTGTCTTCACCTCAAAAGAATCCAATGACTGCCCTCTTCACAAATGGTTGCCTTAGAAACAACTCCTATTATCCAAGCTACACAGCAAAAAAGATGTCTAACCTCTCAGCTGGTCATCTTTCCAATCCAAAGTTTGTTTTATTTGGTCAGTCTGGTGCCTGACACACGCAGAAACAAATTGCAGTGTTTACAAGTATCCAAACCACACTGAGAGTTCCACATTGTGCATCACCACCAACACATGGAAATTTCCTTGGGTCTGTGGAAAATTGGGGACATTTCCACGTGTCGGCAGCATACAGACGGTGAAATTTAAATGTGATTGTTAAGGAAAATCACACTATACTTATCTCATAACCCCTGCCTGCCACCACAATAATCCTTGCATTTGATATAGCACCTTATCATGTCTTCGAGACTTCTCAAAGCACTTCAGAGTGTATTGTAAAGTGAATTGACTGTATCCCATCCCTTGCTCCCTTACGTAAGAGCTTCTGTTTTTAATAAGATGGGAATCGGGGTGGGGAATTTCCACAGTTTCTGTTTATGGAACGTTGTGCTCGCATTTTGACCCTCAACATTCTCAATCTTCCAACATTAAAAACACCTCTCAGCCTGTTAAGGCTATTTCATTTTAAATGTTCTCACAGAATTGTGAAGAATTCCATTTTGATTTGTGTGAACACTGCAGAAAGTAGTTTGACTGGATTAAAACTCAAATTAAGAATTTTTGCACAATTCTGGGTAATTTTAAATCCTAAAACAGAATAGCTCCTTCCACACAGTGGTCACCAGTCTACTTCACGTCCCTGCCCCCTCCATCTTACCATCGGTACACAAGCGCTGCCCAACACCCCCCCACCACCTCACTCTCTGGAACTCCATCCCGAAATCTGTCCACCTCGCCCCCTCCCAGCTCAGAGGCAAAGCGCTTTTGAGACTTCCTTCCTGACATGAAAGACAATATATAAATTATTGCCTTACCCAGTTGTTTCACCCACAAATTACAGTCAATACACTTTACAGTATAACCTGTGAAGTGCTTTCAGACATATCAACAACAACAACAAAATTACATGTGTATAGTGCCTTTCACGTTGGGAGGACGTCCCAAGACGCTGAACAGACAAGAGTTACAGACCTGAGCTGGGAGTGGGGAGGGGGTATGGTAGGGGGTGAAGCGGGGAGATCAAAAGCACGATCGAAGGAGGGTCTTGAAGGTGGCGAGGAAGGGGGGGGCGAGATGGAGGGACTGTGGGATGGAGTTCCAGAGGGTGGTTGCAGAGTGGTGGAAGGCCCGCCTGCTAATAGTGGGGTGAGCAAGGCGGGGGACGTGAAGCATGCCAGAGCCCGCTGGGGGTCAACAATGTGATAATTCGCTATATCAAATGAAATGATTATTATTATTAAAAAGGAGGTGGGATTTATGGTCTATTATTTTTATTCTACACACCATCTTTTGTTTGCGGAGAGTTTCCTCTAGAGATTTAAAACGGTTTGAGAAACACAAAAAGGGAGTCAAGTCATTTTCTGTCCGGTCTGGCACAGTAATCTGATTTTAGTCTCAGGGTTAATAAAGGAAACAAATATGATTTTAATGCCAATGCTCCACTGCTGAGTTTAGAATAACAATCCTTACATTTAATATAGTGCCCCATCAGCTGTTAAGTATTTTTTGGGTGAAACGCGGGTTCGCATTTTTGTCCCTTTTGGGGGTCATTCATTCCTGTCTTTCTGACTCTCCACATTTTGCCATTTGCTGCTCAGTGACGACTGTGGGGGCGGCGGTGTGGGAGGGAAAGAGTTAACATGGCTACGTGATAAGCAGCACGACTCAAGGCACTGCGGGAGGGGGGGCTTCCCACACCAGGCTTGGGGTTTTTTGGGAGGGGTGGGGGGGGTTAGAGTTGGGGGGAGGGGGGGGGGGTTAGAGTTGGGGGGAGGGGTGGGGGGTTAGAGTTGGGGGGAGGGGTGGGGGGTTAGAGTTGGGGGGAGGGGTGGGGGGGTTAGAGTTGGGGGGAGGGGTTGGGGGGTTAG